TCAAGAAGCCTACCATACTTACGGGCAACCTCTAAACCAAGAGTGTCTCTGCCACTTCTTGATTCTGGGACACCCTGGGTGCCAGCTGTCACAGCTCAGCTAATGATGACAAATGCCCCTCTCTATGCAGATTGCAGAGCTTGCAGGCTTCTGTGAAAGGCAACCAGATTACCTTTCTTCACATAGTAGCTTAACCTTTTAAACTCATGTCAGAATGAAATGATCAGCTGTGATAGTTTCAATATATGTATGTTTAAAAACAAAAATCAGAACAATATCAACTAATTTTTTATTTCCCAATATTTTTATTATTTACAGTGGCATACCCTTAAATGCTAAAATATTCTTAAATGATAAACTAAGTGTAATATATTTCCTGACCACTTTAGAATGTGTGTTTAAATCCTGAGAATGCATTAGATAGTATAAATAACAGAAAATTATCCAGATTGTTTAAAAGAAAATACAGGCTTTTCCCTGAAATTTTCAGGGAGAATTATGTTCTGTTCTTTTCTGTACTTGACTGGTAAAGTCTTTATTCTGTCACTGTATGTATAGACCAGACTTTTCCAAGTAAATGGATGTGTGTGTGTGTACACACAGATATGTGTGTGTGTTTGCTTATCCCTCCCCTGTACTGAGAATGGAACCTAGGGTTTTGTGCACCCCTATCCACTGGATTATATATCTATATCTATCTATCTATCTATCTATCTATCTATCTATCTATATATTTAAATTCAGAGGATTATTACAAACTTATTTAGGGAATAATTGTTGCTAATGGTTGTTTTCTCTGTTTCCAAACTTGGGCTTTTGTTTTAAATTGTTAATTTGTTCTGTAGACATTTTATTACCTTTATGATATGTATGTGTGTGTAATTTCCAAAATAATAATGAACGCTATTAACCATAATGTAATACAGGGGATAAACTACCTATTAAGTGAGATAATGTTTTGCAGTTTTAATATTCTTTTCAATTTGCAAAACAGTTCTGTGCAGTTACTCATTTGATGCTTAAAATAATTCTAGGAATTGGAAGAGGTGGGGGATAAGGAGTGAATACCAACACTTTAATTTTTACAACAAATATTAACTTGCACTTACAAATGAAGAGACTGAATTTTAAAAAGGTTAAGTGTTTTATGAAAGAAGACACAAATAATGGCAGACCCCAGTTTACTGGTTGGTACTACAATATCTAAACTATAAGTTGCAGAGGTAAGTGTATAAATTATTATATATTTTCTGCCTGTACCCATATACAATTTGTAGCAACTAATATTTTCATGTATTATTTTTAAAAGAAACCTATAGGTTTATATTACATTAAGAATATGACTGATGAAGTTTAATGCTAAACTTTAGCATAGGTGCTGTATAGGAAAACTTGAAATAAATAAGTAAATTAAATAAATTAAGTAAATATTGAGACACTTTTTATGCTATGAAATTTTGTTTTATAACTATGTGTTGATCTAGCACTTAGGGAAAACCTATTTTGAAAAGACATACACTATTTCGTAAATAACATTGGACTAATTCACCTAGTTCAAAAACAAAGGAATAATTATAAAATGGTAAAAAAATAATTCAGAAATAATAATTATGTGAGTTAAATAGCTATATACTTGTTATAAAGGTTTGTCCATACAGTCTAACTGTGATATAAATGAACTATGAACTATACAATCCACAATCCACAATAAAATACGTATTTCTGTACAAGAATACTCTTTTCTCATGAATTCAAATACAACTTTTTCAAAGAAGGCTATGTGATTGTGAGTCATTTTTATTCCTCAGTAAGTCCTCCTTTTCATAATTACTATAATGAAATGATTGTTTTTGAATGACACATTTGATTATGTTGTATAGTCTGTACCATTTTGTGTGTTAAATTCTATTTAAAGTTACTTGCTAGTAACTAGTAGTAACAAATTGTAGTTCATTGTATATAAAAATTATGTAAAACTTGCAGTGTATATTTTATTAAAATATAGCATACGATTATGAGGAGTAATAAACTAACTCTGCCTTGTAAGTCAGATATTTTATATCAGGACAAGAAAAAGTTCTGGGAGAGAAGTCGGTTGAACTCTCATAACTGTCTGTGGGCCTCTTTACATTGTTACAGTGGTGGTCACCCAAGCTTCCTGTTAGCATCACTCATCAGAAACTTATTAGCTATTCAGATAACTAGTTGCACTTATCAACAGTTCTTGTTGTTAGAACACTTTTCCTATTAGTCAACCAAGCTTTCTCCTTGAACCTTTCACCTGTTTTCTGATTTCCTTCTATATAGTGTTGTCTCCACAGAAATAAGCCCTTGAAATTTGGTACAAAAAATCCACAACAGTTTTGTGGGGTTTTTGTTTCTTTGTTTGCTTTGTTTACTTTATAATGGTGCAAAGGCATAGGCGTCCAGGGGAAACTGTACCTTGAATTTTGAATTGTGATCTTTTTCTCAGGCTAGTAATGTATAGCCTACCCTGTTCTAGGGATCATGAGCGGTGGCAGGGATCCCAGCTGTCAGTCAGCCCTGAAATCATCAGAGAAACAATCTCTACTCTACAGTGTATTGTGCTGCTAGATTGTGATGTTTGGTAGGTTTTATATGAAATGCATTTTGACAAGATATTTTCAATTTGTGATGGTTTTATTGGTATTTGAGTACTGTAACCCCATTGAAAATTGAGGAACATCAATATCTAAGACATCACTTTGAAAATACTTGGGCCTTTCAGTCATTATATCAGTAGCACATTTCAGGTCACCTCACTGTTTAGCATCCATCGTGGCACAAGCTTTTGTCAAGTGCCTATAATTCATTACTCCCAAAACATATCGATAAATGTAGTCTTCTATTAAGTGAAATATAGTCATGTTACCTTCTTAGATGCCAGCATAATCCTGTCGACAAATGTTTATGTCAGTAATTCCTTATTTGTTTAAACATATGTTGCTGAACTTCTAAGTATATGAGTTAAATTTTTCCAGCTTATGATATGCTGCTATTGTTAGGTTTTTATTCCCCACTTTTTGACTTATAAATAGCAACTTACATGTGCATTATTTTAATACAAATAAGCATAACTGTTCTTCCTAAAAATATTATTGTAACTTACAAATAGATCCGCCACAGCAAAATAGAATTTAATTTTTACTGAACTTAATGTTTTTGCTCATACTAGGTGTACAAAGAGACCAATTTGTGGTTCGATTAAATATACTAAATACTGGTCAGCATTTGTAAATTTTATTGCCAGATGCTCAGAATTCTTGTAGTAGTTGTTTATGCCTTTATCAAAAATATACAACTAGGAAGCCCCATTTAGGATAAGTAATATTTTGCATATTCTGACATTTATCAGTTGTTATGTGAATAAATTTCACATCTACAAGGCATATCTTCATGTTTGCCATATTCGATTAATGTGCAGAACTTTAAATGCAAATAAATGGGTTCCTTAGGTTTATAGACCACTAAAGAAATTACATATGTATTGATATATTAATATTTTACCATTTTATAATAGCAGTAGCTTTTAAATAATGCCAATTAGCAGATGTAAATGCTTTTTAAAAAGTGCTATATTTTCTAAATTGAAGTCAATGTGAAAACTTTTTTGTATTAAACTGCAGTAGTCTCACCAAACAAGACCCACTCTGCTTAGTTACTTTCTTCAAGAGCAATGCCTAGAAGTGAATATCCAGCATGCCAGAATGAGTTGATAAATGTAAACTAGAACAAAAAGGGCTCCATTAAGTAATGAATACATTGTTGGAAAAATGCATTTGAGATTTAAGCACAAAAAGGTAACCAATATTTAGTATTTAATAAAATAACAAAATACGTTTCTTGATGTTATTATGTGTGGTTAAAAAAGAAAAAGACAGTCCCTCACATGTATTAAATTCTTTTGGTTATTTATAAAAGCCTTACATTTCTGTAAGTATAAGTACATGTTATTTGTCAGTTTTTCCCCAGAATGAAAATATTTTGTTAATACTTTATTTATGGTTGTTACGACATAGAGGTAATAAAACACAAAGGTGGTCTGCTTCAGATTTTATTTTTTTGCAATTTGTGTCTTAAATGGAGAAGAAAGAAAGTCCAGTGGTGTTACAAAAGAAACCTCAAGTGAAGAGCTGTCCCATCTGTCTCATCTAGTGGCTTATGCAATAAGAGGTGTTATCACATGAATCTAAATGCACAAGCAGTTGTTTTATGAACTCTCTCTGTGCTTGGAGGAGTTTATAAGTTGCCCACTCTATTGTTTGGCAGTCCCAGCTGACTCAAGTGCATTCTGCTGAGCATATTTGGGGGATAATTAGAACTAATGAAGCCTGGAACACAGCTAATTCTCTAAGTGATTTATTCTCAGGCTCTTGTCTGATTCTTAAGAATTCTCTAAATCATAATCTGTGCCACTTTTTTCCCTAGCTTTGTGTTGGTACAGCTACTCTTTTTATGTTTGTTTGATGGGCATTAAAAATTAGGTATTTGAAAATTGAGAAGCCTGTCTCAATACCCACCCACATTTATTTTATTTGTTAGTCTTCAGGGTTGGGAACATAGTTCCCACCTTTCTTGTTTGTTTGTTTGTTTGTTTATATTGTAAAATGTTTATGACACTTGTGCATAGATAATGGGATTTAAAATATCAAGTGATAAGAGCATCTTAAAGTTGTGTCCTCAGGAAATAAATCATAGTAGAAAAATAATTTAAAATTATTGATAGATTTCTGTGAATTCAAGTTCCTCAAAAAATAGAAGATTTTTATAAAAATTATGAATAACTGTCATGTTTCAAAGTTATTTTACTAATACGTCTTCACTGGACTAGCAGTGCTGAGAGTGACATTTCTCTACATGACCTCATTAGATAGACAGTCAGTGCTTCAGCGTCCTGCAACACTTTAAAACCCATCAGCCAGCTTTCCTTTCCTGCTATAACTGTTTCAAAGAGTGGCACTTTTGTTGTGCAGGTTAAAATCTGGTGGGTTACTGAAGGCATACTAGAATGAGGACAGACACAATTGCCACCAAAAGGTTGTAACTTTATTAAAGCCTTAAAATCCATAAATAAGACACTGAAGTCGGTTCAGGTTCCTCATTTTTGTAGCCTCTGTGTTTTAGTTGATCTTTCTCTTGTCTGGAAACTATAGCAGAATTTATTATTAAAAATCATTACTTTCACCTGTTGATCCCAATAGTTCGTGCTGGCCATAATCTGGAGCTGAAATAATGAATCATAAAAGCACAGATCATTTTATCCAGTACACTGAAATGTTTGTGTCATTGTGGATCCCAACAAGACTAAGGACTGACTGAGGGACCAGGTAGTTAGAGATTCCTGATTTTTATTACAAGATACTCAGCTGCTGACTCAGATAAACTCTAGTCTTACCTGAATTCACTGACTAGGGTGTTTGACTTTTCTTGCCTGAAAGTCAGCTGAACATTCAAATAACATGTCTGTGTCTTAGGATACTGATGAAAAAAAATTGTCTTTTTAAAATTAAGTTTATTGGTATATGTTAGGTATACATAATGATGACATTCATTACAAGGAATTTGTGTGTATACACAATATAAGTTGATTCTTTTTTCCCCATTCCTCTACCCTGCTTCCCTTCCCTATTTACTGAAGCTTTGTTTCCATTCTTTGCTTCTTTTCTCATCACTTTTTTCTTTTTGCTTCCTATCTCCACCCCACACACACCTGCCGGTTTCCTTTCCCATTAGTTTTCTCCTATTTTACAATATCTGTTATACATTTCGGTTCGTATTTATAATATATACATATATATAGATTTATATCTTCCATTAAAGATAGACTGGAGGCATTTCTAGATAAATGAATACATCTTGAAAAAAATTGTCTTTAAATGCTCACACCCTTAAAGAGATAAAGAATAGCCGGGCATGGTGGCACACCACTGTACCTCCAGCATAGGCATGCTGAGGCAGGAGTGCTCTGATTTTAAGGCCAGCCTGGCCTACATAGTAAGTTCAAGGTCATCCTGAATTTCAGAGTGAGACCCTGTCTCAAAAAATGAAACAAACAAACAAAACAAACGAAGAATGCACCGAGAAAATTATTTAATATGGAATTCTTATAATATTCTAGGTATTGGGCCAGTGAGTTAACTCAGCGGCACAAGCGCCTGCTTGGCAAGCACAAGGTCATGAATGAGTTCAATCCCTGGTATCAAAAAAAAGAAAAACCTAAAAACTAGGTATTATGACACATATTTGGCCCATATGACAATACCTTTGTCCTCTCAACAACACTACAAAGTTCTATTACTACTCTCACTTTCCTGTTAGGAAACTGAGATTCAGGGAGGTCAAATAACTCCACCAAGTTTATAAAACCAAGAGTTTGAAAAATGAGATTTTTATCCGTATCACTTGGCCATAGGACCTGGAGCACACTCCATCAGCAGCACACTACACTGCCCCTCTCTAAGTTTCTCTGCCATCTCCAAAAAGGGATAATAATAGGGTTATCTGTATTAAATTAATAAAACTATTTTTAAACTGGTTTTGCCCAAGTTCACACAATAACTAACAGAACTAGGATTCAACCCACCTCTTTCTGAATCTAGGATCCTGAGCTTATATTATATAGTGGTTAGGAGAACATTTGTTGACTGAATAATTAAATGACTATTATCTGTCCTGTCCTTTCCAGTGGAAAATTGTGCAAATGTTGCTAGTAATATTGATAGCACACTGCAGTTCTGGCAATTGAGTGAATGAATGGTTTTTCATTCTTGCTCTCTAGTGAAATACAGTCTATGCACTGATCGCTCACAAGTGTATATTTCAAGGCAAGACGTTTATCCTCAACTCCAGCCTCATAAATCTAACGGTTTCTTATACATCTTCCCACACATGTAAGAGCATTTCAAACTTACATCTACATTGATCATCTACTCTTCCTGAGTCATCCTTGCCTTAATAAATAGTAATTTCTTCCAGTTTTTAGGCCAGCAACTTAACTAGCATCTTTGTCTTTTTTCTTGGTTTCATACCCCTTATCCAGAGAATCAGTAAATCCCCAGAATCTGACCATTTCTCACCAGCCTTACGGCTCACGTGCTTTGTTACCCATCTTTTAAGGTATCCAGGAGCTGTGCTGGCTTCCTTCTTTCTCCCCTGCCTGCTGAGTCCCTCCCAGTCTTTTCTGAACACTTCACTGTAGTTCTTTTCATACCATCACCCTCACCTAGGTCAGGTCTCCATCACGTCTGCTGGACCCTGACTTCCTTTCAGTTTTTGTTTCCTCTAATTCGTTGTAAAGAGAATGCTGGACTGACGTTGGTCTCAGAGCTTCCTTCCTTCCTTCCAGCGTCTCCTTTTTCAAAACCTTAGATTGATTCTCATTCTGCAAAGGAGGAAGACAAAAGTGAATAGAGGGATGGATGGAAGAAAGGAAAGAAAGGCCAAGGAAGAGATGAAGGGAAAATCTGGTCTTCCAGCACTTTACCATCTGGACACAGTATACATTCCAGGCTTCACTTCTCTTCCTTGCAGTCTCTGTTATACAGTGATTATTTTCCAAATAGAGTACAATTCTTAATATTTTTCTTACTTTTTGCCTTCCATGCCTTCCTTAAGATCAAATGTAACCTTTCTCTAGTTGTCCTAATTTGAATTGTCTTTCCTTCCCAGTAATTTTAAATGACTTGGCTTCACCATGGTTGGTATATCATTGACTGATTTTTTTTTAAAGGTATTTAAATTTCTAAGTGTCTCTGGCTTCCCAAGTGAGTCCAGAATCCCAAAGGGATAAGACAATTTTTACCCTTCTTTTTATTCTTATGCCAAAGTGCCTCGCACAGAGCTATACACATAGTAGATGATCTACACATGGATGTTAATAGTAACGTATCCAAGTGGTTAGCAATCATTATAGACATTTTTTTTTCTGTAGGCTGGTTACAGATTTGACAAATTAGCCTGCATATATTATAATTCATCTAAGAGTATTATATATTAAATCCATTGTGCCAACTAGTGATTTTCTTTTCTTTTTTGGTAATACTAAAATCAACATTTAGTATGTAAGTTGAGATTCTACACAGCCATCTTAGGTTATCTATCAGTGTCATAAAACTATACATTAAGCAATATCTAGGGATTTTTTTCTGCCTTGTTTGACTACAAGTGGCAATTCTGAAACTTCTTTAGGCACTAGAGAGTTCCCTGAAGCCTCACTCTTGAACACAATTCAGAAACTTTCTTCATTGAGTTCTCAAATGAGTTTAGAGAAATGTAAATATTTGCATTAATTTACTATTTAAAGACTGTTACATTTCCAGCATTAAATATATGTCTAGGTAGTGTTTGAAAATTATAATTGTTAAAGTTACTGGTAGCAAATGGTTACCTTATGTTAGCATGAACATAGAACTGCACAGGCTTGAGCTATTTGAAGAGCTTTGTCAACATTATCTCAGGAATGTGGAAAATATTCCCTTGAAATTCCTTATAGGGGACTTAGGCAAAGAGGTTCTTCAGTCATTCAGCTTTGAGGTATCAATGAAGCATCTTCCTTGCCCTCCCCTATTCCTTGGAAACAGACCCGCCCTCATGGAGTTTTCAGGGCAGTAGGGGATTGCACACCACAGAGTTTACAGCTGCAGTTCAGTAGACTTGGTACTGAGTAGTTGGAGAAGAAGAAAACACAGTGCTCATAAAGGAGCACATCTAGATATAATGCACAAAAGCCTTCTGATGGAAAGCCTGAAGAAAAAAGAGATCATTCCTATCAGCAGACATTTATTGAGCATGGTCTTTTTCTTTCTCTATCCTTCTGTTTTTAAGCATCATACCAGCTGGGATAGGAGATGTATAGGTCATAGCTCCCACCTGAAAAGCAACTATATGAGGAAAGTAGGGAACTCACAAAGAGCATTTGCTATGCATAAGATGGTTGTCATGCTTCTGATCCTGAGATCTTATCTATGTATTGAAATACAGAAATACTGGAGTATGAACACGTTTTCTGGGAAGATGATGAGCTCAATTAAATCTCTGTTTGATGGATTACCTGGGGGAAAGCTCAAGAAGACAGCTAGATGTATGACTCTAAGACTTAAGAAAAAGATCTAGTATTCATTGTATTGTATGTAGTCTGAAGCATGACAGCACTTAAAATATTCCGGGAGAGAGTGTAGAGTGAGACAATGTGCAGGATATGATCATGGGCGTTCAGTATTTTGTCTCAGCAATGAGAAAAGAATCAAAGTGTAGAGAAAAAGGACCAAAAGAAGAAATGTTAAAATTGAAATGCAGGGTTAATTCATGGAGCTTTATCGAGGAAGTGGCATCATTCTCTTGAGGCTGCGGGTCATTGAGAGATGCTTTGAAGATAAACTCACTTATTAATATTTCATTTTATTTACTGTATTCAATGTATGCTAACAACAGTGGAGAGTACAGTGTTGGTTTGGGCTGTACAGATCTAGGTGTGGAAATGTATCAGGAAAACTATTGTATTACAGAAAGTAATTGTGGATACAGATGTCTATAATTGGTGGTATAAAAAATTGATGGTAGTTATGACTCAGCCTCAATTTCCTTTGGAATTTTACTTAAAAAAGGGGTGAAAAAGGACTTGAATGTTTTAAACCATTGCTAAAAGGAAGAGAAGGTAATAATACTGGTCAAAAGCAAGAAAAATGATTTAGCAGGAATAGTAGATATATACTATGATAGAAAAATATGAAGTTTTATTGGCATTAATTTACATTAAGTCAAAATCATCTATATCAATCAACCAACTAGATGTGAAAGGGAGGAGAAATGAAACTACTGAATATATCCAGGACCGATAATTTTTAAAGAACTTACAAAAAAACACTCTCAAAAGGATAAAAGTGATTGCTGCTTCCAAAATGGAGAAAATAAGTGTGGTCAGGTTGCTAAAATGGAATGAAGAAAACCGCAAGTCTTACGGAGAGTAAAGCTGTCAGACTTAGAAACACACCTGAGAACCCCAGTTAATTGTTGGATTCTAAACAAATATTTTATTGCTAAATTCAAATTTTACTAGGAAGACTGTGTCTTATTTGCTAACTCTAAATGAGGGTGAAGAGTAGGGATAGTAAAATTCCTAAACAGTTGAGTAAATAAGATCACTCAAACATAGGGAGCAGAGTAAATTATGAAGCAAATCAAGCCATAGTTAGGCATAGACTACTTGAATTTATAAAAAAGCAATTTTAGTATTAAAGTATAGAATCTATTTTGCATACAGATTTTGAACTTTTGGAGAGTGATGGTAAGATTTTGGATGGTGAGGAAAAGAAAAGAAACTTTGGGACTGAGAGCCAGGAGAACACAATGGGTCATGTTCGGGGAACCATGAAGAAAGCAGGCCGAGTTGTCAGAGGCCGCACAAAGGGAGCAAATGGACCTAGAGGAGCGGCTGGGATCTGGGAAGCTAGAAGATATTTCACGAAAGCAAATGCAGCTTAGGGATTTGAGCACTCAGGAGATATTTAATAACACAATTTTATCATCAACTTCTAATGCGTTAGAGTTTATTTAAATTTATTCATGTAGTCAGCATAGCCATATGTTATTGTTAAAGACACTCGTATTAACTATAGTCCTTTGGGGTCAGCCTAAGCGTTAGTCCCTTTGATTTTACTATTTACATATAACCAAAGTGTGACTCTACTTACTTAGGTAGAAGAAATCAGTCATATTGATCTATTAAAGAAATGTAAAACTAGCACAAATATTTTTCCGTAAGTACTTTATTTTGTTGCATTAAAAATAGTTTTATTTTGTTGCATTAAAAAATACAACTTGTTCCCACCAAAACTCACATTAAGGCTTAATTCTTCGTTGGGTGATTATTGAGAAACACAGTGTCCTGGAGGACACTGTCCTGGAGTTTGGCTATGGGAGTGGGGCCCTTCTGATTTTATTGACACCTTTCTAATTGGAACGACTTAGCTTGTACATTAGTTCTGTACCCTTTTCTCTTTTCCATATGAACAAATTTCCCTTCTGCTGCCTGCAATGAGTCAAAACAATATGGAGTGCTAAGAAAAGACGCTAAGAAAATGGTGGTTGCTCATTTCAGTCTGCCCATCCCCAGCACTGTAAGCCCACTTCTTTGTAGATTACTCAGGCTCAAGTATTCCATTACAGCAACAGAAAATAAATGCAACTTTATACAGTTATCTGTATATAAATTTAGAAAGCACATAATGAATGTGTTGAAGAGGAAAATAAAGCCAGCAATAAATAAGAAAATAATTAATCACTGTAAATCATGAATTATTACTAAAGGAACTTGTGATTGAAGAATCAATCATTCTTGAGAAATTACAGAGAAAGTGAGATATGTAGAAGAGTAGATAGAGCAAAGTATTAGGAAAGGTTTGTATTGGGTACCTTTTTGTTCAACATTGTTACAAAGATGTATGAAACACAATCTTGGGATAAACAATGTAAATTTAAAAATTAAGACTGTGTTCTAATAAGATCTAAGCCTGACAGCAACCTATAAGAAAATAAAAGTAATACAAATTTTTCTCAGTATCCATGAGGGGTTGGTTTTGGATCCTCCTCCTGCTACCAAAATGCACAGGTACCCAAGTCTGTTCAATAAAATGACAGGTTTTGCATATAACCTTCATACATCCTTCCATATACTTTAGATCATCTCTAAATTACTTCTAACAGTGATTCAACATAAATAATTATTATAATGTTTAGGGGCTACTGATAAAAAGTCTGTACTCTTCAGTATAGCCTTAAGTTTTGTTTTTCAATATTTTTGGTCTGCATTTGGCTGAATTCATGAATGTAGAATTTATGCGTGCAGAATCCACAATTACAGAGGATCAATTCTATGGTATTTCAAAATCATTATAAAGGAATTGCAAGTTACCTTAGAAAATATCACTTAGTATAGGAGACAGCACCAAAAGAAGAATAAACAAATTTTAAAAAGAGGCATGAGCAGTATACAGAACAAAAATCAGTATAGCAGATGTAATTTCAACCATATAAAAATAATTTTAAATGTAGGTGGATTAAACAATATAAACAAAAACAGAAACTGCCAGACAGAGTTAAATAAGATCTAACTGTCTGCCCTATACATTTAACTGCATGCTGGTAACTATATCCTTTGAGTCAGAGATACAGATAGGTTGTAAAAGGATTTTAAAAAGATAGATCATATAGAACAGCAACCACAAAAGAGTTACACTAACTACACTATTATCAGACAAAGTAGGCTTTACACTTTCAAAATTACTAAATACAAACGGAACATTTTATATTTATAAAAGGGTCAATCTCTTGGGAAGATACAATAATTATGTTTGTACACCTAACAATAAGTCCTAATATATACGA